CGCAAAATGCCTTTCCCGTCAATGTGAGGTGACCCTCACAAGCTTTCGCTGTATAGAGTTCCTCTGTTAAATTTTTATCTCAACAAATCAGGATTTTCATTAACTAACCTATGTGTAGTTTGCAATGAACCGGAAACAATAGATCATTTTCTTCTCTCATGCCGCCGCTTCGCCTCACTGCGCCGAATAATTCTTGAAAGACCGATTGGTATGATCGGATTGCCAGTCAATACATCCACCCTATTATCGTTTGGAGCCAGTCAGTTGGGTGTGGGCCGCAGTGCTATTCTGTCAGCGCTACATAAATTCATTCAGGCAACCGGAAGGATACGCTGCTAGTGGTACTGCCAGATATATCCAATTCTTTCTCCCCATTCCTCATTCTTGTTAATTTGTTTTATATATTCTGGTTTATCGCATTCTTCTGCAATTTTTCACATTTTTTGAAAGGAACATTATTATTGCTCCTATCTAATTTCTCTTCATTTTTTTAGCAAGCGTTGTAAAAAATGATCTACTATGAGGTACAGCGTGGCCAATCCCCCATCTGGGTATGAGCCAAGATCTCCTAGGAGACAAGACAAGACAAGCAAGAGGAGCCGAGCGCGAGCTGTTCCCCCGAGCGTTGCGTTTCCTGCGTCGGTTGCTGCCGCCCGCTTTCCGCAGTCAGTAGACCTGCTGTGCAAGCACTACTTACGCCAATAAACACCGTTTCAGAGTGGTGGAGGTGCTGGGTAACTCAACCTGGAACTCCGCAACAGGTAACTACCTGCCATCCCGGACATGGCTGAAGAAAACACCCAGCAAGGTAAGACCCAGCCTCCGATGGTCATCGTGCCCACTGCGCTACACGTGCGCGATCCACCTTTTTTCGACGGTACTGATGAGCAAGACGTAGAAGATTGGCTGTCGACATTTGAAAAGGTAGGCGCAAGCAACAAGTGGGACGACACATCGTTAGCTGCAATATGTACCCTTCTACCTGAAAGAGGTAGCGAGTCTCTGGTTTCACAACCACCACTCGGAATTCGCCACTTGGGCTGCCTTTAAGCTACTCATTACCGATGTGTTGGTCGCCCCGAGGTACGCAAGCTTCGCGCCAAACAGCGCCTACGGGGACGCGCACAGCTTCAGGGAGAAGGCTTCACAAGCTACATCGAGGATGTGCTCGACTTGTGCAAGCGCCTTGACCCTTTAGTGATCGAGGTAGACAAAATCAAACACATTTTGAAGGGGATAGACGACGACGCCTTCCAGATGCTGCTGGCCAAGGGCCCACGTACCGTGTCCGAACTCGCCACTCTTTGCCAGAGCTTCGAGGAGTTGCGCAAACAACGGGTCATGACACGGCGGCCAGCGGCTACCGATGAAATTCTCGTGGCATTGAGCCTGGGTGGAGACCACAGCACAATCATGTCGGAAATCAAACGATATGTGCGCGAGGAGGTGGCCCGACAACTTTCGTGCCTGTCGTATCTACCGGCAACGGAACCCTCTTCTGAGCGTCTCGCGCCCGCCATCAGGCAGGTAATACAGGCGCAGGTCTCTGAGGCACTGCCGTCCGTCTCTCAGACAGCACTCGTCACCGCGCCATTGACTTACGCTGCTGTTGCTGCTACTCCGCCACGACCTCCGCTTGGGCCGACTCCCCAGCCTGTACGAGTATCAACGACGCCATTTCCAGCAACACAACTGCGCTATAACGGAAACCCTTGGCGCACAGTTGACAATCGCCCGATCTGTTACGCATGCGGATATCCAGGTCACGTGGCGCGCTTCTGTCACCGGCGCTTCGCAACGGACCCGACTGCACCTCCGAGGTACCCTGACTACTCTTTACCGGCCCCGTACAACGCGCAACGAGAACTGCCACGTCAATGCGACCGACAATCAGTGGAACGCGACCCGTCACCAACCGAACTAGACCACCGCCCTGCTGCCGACTACCAACCATTCGGTCCACGTCGCTCGTCCTCACCACGCCGCTACCGTTCTCCGTTCCCTCTGCATCGCCGACCGAACCCGGTAGAGACGGAAAACTGACTGCCGCAGCTCCGGAGGCACGAGCTGCGAAATCGTCGCATTGTACAAGTCCTCGCCCGTCCCCCACAAACGTTCTGGAAGTGTTTGTTGAAGGTCTACGAACTCTTGCGCTTGTTGACACGGGTGCCGCCGTATCTGTGATGAGTCAGAAACTCTGACGTTTGATACGAAAAGTAACGACGCCGCCTTCCGACGTTTTGCTGAATACCGCGAGTGCGCAACCAATTCGACCAGTCGGAGCATGTACGGCGAGAGTAAGGACGTCCTGTACCACATCACGTTTCTCGTGTTGACCACTTGTTCCCACGACGTGATACTTGGGTGGGATGTTTTGTCACGCCACCACGCCGTAATTGACTGCGCTCGCGTGCAGGTGGAATTTTCTGTGTTTTCAGATGCGCCATCTACCGACAACGAGCGTACTCACCTTGGCAAGCTTCTTGTTGCTTTCGATGTTGATGTTCCTCCTCTTAGTGCCATCGTTGTCCCCGTCAATCGCACTGAATTGTCCGGCTCTACCGTTGTGTTCTCCCCATCTGACGTTTTCAGTCGCCGCCACGGTACCTCTCTGCCATACGCCGTTCTGCCACCTCACCAAGATACTTCCGGAATTGTCGTTTGCAATCCTAGCTCATGCCCTCTCACCTTAATAGCTCACGAAACACTGGGCTATGTTCATCCTGTTGATGACAACGTTATTGTGCCTATTGAGTGCCACGACCCTGGCTAGCAACCTTCTGGTACCTTGTAGCAGAACTACAAGGTACCAGAAGCGGGAGCACTGCAGCGTTCGGTCAGGGAAGCACTGACGCAGTTTGCGCCTCTGTAATTGCAGAGCAGGTGGATGATATGCTTCAGCGCGGTGTCATCAAACCATCTTCTAGCCCCTGGTCTTCAGCTGTTGTGCTAGTGGAGAAAAAAGACGGTTCGATTAGATTTTGTGTCGACAACAGGCGACTGAACAAAATTACACGGAAAGATGTATACTCTCTTCCCCGCATCGACGACGCTATCGATTGCCTACAAGGTGCCGAATTATTTTCTTCGCTGGACTTACGTTCAGGTTACTGGCAGGTTCCGATGGCAGAGTGTGACCGTCCCAAAACAGCGTTCGTTACGCCTGATGGCCTATATGAATTCATGGTTATGCCATTCGGTCTGTGCAATGCATCCGCAACATTTGAACGAATGATGGACAGCATTTTACGCGGCCTTAAATGGCAAATATGCTTATGTTACCTCGATGATGTTATCGTTTTTTCTCCTGATTTCCCTACCCACGTCGACCATCTGCGCACAATTCTTCAGTGTCTTACTAAGACAAACCTCCAGCTTAACCTGAAGAAGTGCCGCTTTGGGGCTCGCCAACTTACTATACTTGGTCACGTTGTGTCAAAAGATGCAATTTGCCCCGACCCGGACAAACTTCGAGCCGTAGCCAGCTTTCCGAAGCCGACTTCACTCAAAGAACTTAGGAGCTTCATCGGCTTGTGCTCGTATTTTCGTCGTTTCGTCCACAACTTTGTAACAATAATAGCCCCACTTACACAACTACTTAACGGTCCAGCTAATCTTTCTAGTTGGACCCCGGCGTGCGACGAAGCTTTCCTTACACTGCGCTGCCTGCTTACGTCTGAAACGGGGTTTATTTGCGTAAGTAGTACTTGCACAGCAGGTCTACTGATGCGGAAAGCGGGCGGCAGCAACCGACGCAGTAAACGCAACGCTCGGGGGAACAGCTCGCGCTCGGCTCCTCTTGCTAAAGGCGTGACCCACTGCGGCACATAATCTTCTTCCTCTGTACACGTTCATCACCTCCAGCTTGCCTGATGTTAACACGTCTTTGCAAGTGGAGCACACCATGAATTCACTGTAGTTTCTGTTGCTGTTACTCGTCCCGAACTCTTGTGGGAGCACGCCATGCGGGTTAATCGTCACGCCACGTGCGAGCACGTGAGCTCATCGTGCGTCTGCAGAATCTCGTTCCCCGATGCAATCACGTGATTGCTGAGAGAGTGTGAAGGGGATACAGCCTCTTACACAGCCACTTACGCAGGCTTGAACACGCTAGCGCGTGAGCACGTTCTAGCAGTGTTTGGGCCAGCTAGTGGCGCATGCGCAGCGAAGGTGGTTACGCACACCGGATAGAGCTTCACCATAAACTCACAGGGCCCTTCACGCATTTGCCTCAAGTGACTATATACTCTGTTTCAACCGTCAGGTGCAACAATGTGAAATATCTAAGAAGTCCCTTCTCGTATGCTACCATGCATGGTCACTTCTTTTGAAAAGCGAAAGCCCTATTTATTTATTTATTTATTTATTTATTTATTTATTTATTTATTTATTTATTTATTTATTTATTTATTTATTTATTTATTTATTTATTTATTTACTCATATGTCTCATCAATCACAAAAACTGGCCGGTGTCCCGCGTCGGCGTCTCCCGCCTGGGTCAACTCGAGTTATGCGAAATATCATAATTACGGGAAGACGCCACCATATATTACGTCGGAATTAAAACAGAAATCGCGAAAATTTGTGTCATTATGATTTCATTGTGACGCCACGTCACATGAGGATGTCATCATACGGAATCACATGAAATTGCCACAGCTCCCTCTGAAACAATCAGGCTTGACAGGATGGCGAGTATACGACAACATTGCGTAAGCATGGCAATGTCCCGTGTAGTGTAAGGCAAAACTGCGATTGAGTCTAGTTTGATGGTTGTTACATGAAGTAAATCCGGCAATATCTAGAATGCAAATGCATGTACGTTAGTTGTTACATTACGTAATTTCGACGATGTCCAGTGTGACATAACATATTTGGTCTGCTTGTTACATTGCGTGAATTCAGCAATGCCCGGAAAAGTATGACTCTGTGCGCTGGTAGTGGCATTGTGCAAACTCAGCAATGTACAGAATGACATAACGTGGTGTGCTTGTTCAGCAATTTACAGAATTCTATAATCCGGCGCTCTTCTCTCTTCGGGAAACGTTGTATAGGATACGTGAGCGACTCGGAGTTGGAGCGGCTGACGCTGGCGAACGCACTGCGTTACCTACGCCACATATCACGCGGGGCCGCTCACGCTGAGCGAGCCGAGGCGAGGTTCGTGCCCGTGGACTGGCGCTGGGTGACCGGACGCACCTACATCGCCGACCTGCGCAAACCGTCGGCCAAGGGACCAGCCGCCCTGCAGCTGGCCGCCATGAGGGAAGCCGACGGAATTGGGGTACGTCGGTGCCACATGGTTAAAGTTATAAGATATGAACCGTGAACAAAACATGTTGTCGGGCTAATTGGTTCATGCTGTGCAAAACGTAAGGACGAAACCTAAGACGAAGAAAACAAGAGTACAGGAAAGAGCGTTGCTTTCAACCAAGTTTATTTGAAGGAAGGCTCCATTTTATGCAGTGCGTACAGGCGTTCAGCTATACAGTGGCTCAAACAAATGAAGTACAATCGCATGTTCGTTTAATCATGCTCTCAAAAAGTAGCGCTTCTATACTGTACGCCTGGTAACAGACGTCTCACTGACAGAAACATCTCGCATGGCATTGACAAAGTATTTCCGCATAGATGACATCCTGTCCCAGCGCTTCCATTATTTCTTTCTATCCATGCGCAAACGCGTGCTCTTTGACGGTAGCCGTCGATTCGCTTTAGTTCATGGAGTGGTCGTGATGCTACGCCACATAAAGGATAGGGCTGCGTGCTTGCGTCCCACATGTATCTGTGCACAACTAAACAAAAAAATTACTTAATATGATTTTCATTTTGAGGCATCACATAAAGGGTTCTCTCCCCCATGACCACAAAGCACACGAGAAGGCTAGGCGATGGGTGACAGCAGGAAAGGGCTAGGAGAGGGTGGTGAACTGCTGGATTGGGCGCATCTGGCTGGCATTGTAAAAATTGAGGAGGCGCTGCCTATCCGCTTGTTTTGTTCGCCTTGTGTAGAGTTCTTCCTTTTGAGCAGAATATGACTCGTTGCGCCTCGTATAGTCGAAACTTGCAATCACGACAGTTAACATCTGTCGGCTATACGGTGGTGAGGCTATACGGTGTGGATTTCCGCTGTCACTGAAGTTTAGTATTATTTTGTGCCTGCGCTGTAGTGACGTTTATAAATTTAGTGACGTTTACCAATGCTTTCAACGTGATGTTGTATAGATAGCTAATCATAAGCTATAACGATACCCTGAATTTGAAATGATATATTTAAATCTCTTTTCACTGCCCAGCAAAAGACCTATGCACCAACACTTATTGTATACTGTTCAGATTGTAACTCGCAACTTTCAAGTTGTCATGGCGCTGAATAGGGCTGATTCGTTATTCATGACCATAAAATAATGGCGCGAAAAACGATGGACAAACACGCGGAGACAAACGAGCGTGCAGACAAGAGACATAAAATATCAGAACAACTTGTCTGCACGCGTGCACTTTCGCTTACAATAAATCCGTGCTATCTATAGCCTAACACTCTGTCGTTCTGAAGGCGGAAGCCGACGGATGAAAACCAAGGATGGATGGATGAAAAACTTTTATTGGGGTCCTGAAGGATTCCACCCCCGTTCTATAGGGGTAGGATCACGAGCCGCTCCCACGTTTGGACGGGAAGGCCCAGCCTCACCGCCGCATCGTGGGCCTTCTGGACAGCCTTGAGTTGTTGTATGAGAACCGGACTCGTGAGCAATAAATGAAAGGAGTTCTCAGAAAATTCTTCATGTTTTCTTTGTAAAGAGGGGCACCTCCAAGGAAGCTTAAAGAAAATTGCTGGAGTGGAAGCTCCCGCAATGCTTTGCCAGCAGTAGTGAAGCCAGCTTTTGCCCTCCAAAGATCTGAGAAACACGCTATTTTCTGGTGGTGTCCACATATCAGTCAAGTTACTTCGATTTGTTGGTCTAAGTGCTACGTTAATTATAAATTAAAAGATAGTTCTTTCTGAACAAATAACTCGCAGAGTCTATAGTATCAGTGACTTCATCTCCAATGAAATATGCCTTGGATTCAAGGCTTACTGAAGAAAACTAGTGACACAAGGATGCACTTTGAACACTATCTGACCCTAAAAGGTTGCCACGTTAAACTCGTTGGGCGTGCGAGGAAAACGCTCCTTCTCAATCGCCGAACGTCAACAGCTCATCATGTCCCTAGTAATAGGGCTTCCGCAGCCGCTATTTTACGGTTGGCAAGGCTTCACTTGTGGGCAAGAACTTCCGCTCCAGCAAAATTTTAAACCTCATTGATAAAACGAAGTTTGCTGCTGTGTCGCACGAACGGGAATAACTGCCTATAAGGCAGGCAAACCGATGTTACGATGGACGGGACTACCTTTGTGAAAGGCACCTCGTCAACCTCATCCTCAACTGTTCGAATCAAATCGAGATTGTTGATGACTACACGTCACTTGGTGTTTCTGTCTGTACCTTCCATCTATAGTTATGTCTGAACTCTCCTAATGGTGCGAGAGTTGTCCCCTCTCCGCGACCGCATGTTCTTTGCGAGGCGTTTACTGAGCAGCGGTCAGCATGACAAGCACAGTAAACGCATGTGCGAATTTCGTACCTTTCGTCAAGATAACTACCGATCGAAACAATTAATCAGTCAGTGTTTTTGTTCGAGGTCTATTCGCCTCTGTGTCGTGTGCTAAAACAGTTTGGTCTCGCTTGTCATCCGCCTTCACTGCAGTTCTAATGGCTCACTGTTTTATTTATCGTTTTTTTTTACAGATCGAGCAAATACACGAAAACTTGAGCACCGACCAGGAAGTCATCAACATGAAGGCTTACGAGTTTGCCATCGAAAATGCCATCCGCATACAGAGGGTGAGTGTAGCCATAATCCACTGAATGTAACTCTCAAATGACGATGTCACCAACTATAGTAGCGTATTCATACGAATCAGAGTTTTCCGTAACGCGTTACAGGCATGGTCGTTGGCAGGGGGTCCAAAAGAAGCACTGGACTTTTCCTCAAGCTACACCAGCGCTTTTTCCCTTCCCCAGCCGCGATGCAACGCGCGTTTACTCCCACCCCCCATACCAAAATTCTGCCGTTGCCCAAGCAATCAATTAACTTGTATTCAATTACACTTCCTTGTAACTTTGTAATATAGTTTAATACTGATTGATTTGTGGGGTTTAACGTCCCAAAACCACCATATGATTATGAGAGACGCTGTAGTGGAGGGCTCCGGAAATTTAGACCACCTGGGTTCCGAAATGCTAACATTCTTGGTAATTCCACGGTAATTCCATTGCGCTTTCTCGTGACTGATTACCGGTAATAAATTCCTTTTTCTTTTCAACATCAAGTGGTAACCAGCCTTCTACGGCCGTTCTCGTGTCGAAAAATGTGCGAATGCTCTTGGAGACCTTACGTCCCGTCAAACAGAGAGTCGCTACAGCAGAGTTTTTTTTTTACTTTTTTCACTTGTACTTTACCTGCACCGTCTTATCGTAGCGCCAGCAACAGCGAAGCGCGACACCTTATAGAGCACATGGACACTAGCATCGAAATACCTTGCAACTACGATCTGTTACGCAAGACGTTACTACATAATACTACCCTTCTCTCTAGCGCATGCATGCATTGGTTCATTCACTCTTGACGAGAGAACGTGCAGGAATCGGCGACAACTTTGAGAAAAGCAACTCCTGCTGAAAGTTAACATCGTGTAACATTATACCACAAGCTTAATGAAAACCAGAAGATTAGGAATCTGTCAAATAAAAAACGAGCCTTCAAAAAGCTCCTATCCCTCATTCGATATGACAGAAGCCTCCCCCGCCTTCTCTCTATCACGCGAGCCATGGCAGTTCGTTGTTGCTTGAGTAAATTCGTGTTATTGTGTTACAGCAATAGACATTTTGACGAAACGTGGTAAAGGTTCTTTACTTCCTGTGAAGTTGACGCGAGAGATCCTTGGGGATTTAGCTCGGCGGGGATGATATATTCGACAGGAGACGTTCAATGATTATGGGCAAACTGTATTACATTTGCATATGGTAATTACAAGCGGGAAGACTAATTTGCACTTCTGGGTCTGTTCGGTTCCCCTTTCAGCTTTGTATTTTTTTATTTTTGTCGGATACACTTTTTGTGGGTGTTTTTCTCGTACTTAGGACCTCAGAAGACCACAAACAAAAAATGTAGCCACTGGTACAAGTATTTTCGGATTAATTAATGGGGAATAAAATTAGGTGATTAGGGCCCAGTGATTGGAAAGTGAAAAAAATGGCTTTTTTTCTGCCAATCAATGGTGTACACAAAATGGAAATCAACGTTTTACTTTTCAGCCTAATACTCACTGAAACAGCTTCCGTACATTGTCCCGAAATGGCGCTTACCCGCCTCAACATACGTGCCTTGGCTTCACGGAAGGCCTTGGTCGTGCTTCTTCTTCTTCCTTGTGGCTGCTACCTCCACAAACGCGCCGCAATATTGGTGTCAATTGCAGTGGAGATCATTGAATAACTATGCCCCAAAGAATGAGTAGTATTGGTTACGTATCCGAGATACTAGAGGAAATGTTGTGCGGTGGTGTCAGTTGACACCGCCAGGGCCGAAAGGGTTAATAATGGGTGGAACCAAGAGGCTCTCTCTCTTCTACACATCACCTGGTGTTAGAGCCCAAGGCACTGCGAGGAGGTACGCAACACACCGTGGTTACACACCGTGGTTCTACCACACCGTGGTTACAGCCCAGACTGCTCCTCCACGGCCTGTGGTGTTTACAAGCGAAGTTCACGGGGGGTGGGAGAGAGAGAGTGAGATGAGGAGAAGAGAGCAGTTCGGCCCAGCGAGAATGGCGTTGCGATTTCCCCCGCTGCTGGCACCCCCGACCACCGCCCGTGGCTCGTATTCCAAAGCGCATGAGTCCACCGGCTCGAGTCTCTCTCATTCTTGCGCGCGCTGGCAGACTCTCAAGTGCGGTGGTGGTGGTGATGGGGGGGGGGGGGGGGGTGGCAGTCCATTTTGCGATTTGTATATGAAGCAATGCGTCTGTCACCGGAGATGAGTTCTGGGCGTGCAAACAGTTCATTGGGCCGACACACAGGAGAACGTGCCTTCTCGTCGGCGCCATCCATTCCTGGTCCGAAGACCATGACGCTTTGCGGCGTAGCACAAGCCCGGCCCTACACGTTCCCCCTAGGAGTGTAACTGAGCTCTGGGTCTGTTCGGTTAGCCTAAACATAACAGGCCGAGATATTGCGTTGGGTAAGCCTGCACTCGTATACTCCCCGTCCCAAGACCATGACACTCCGCAGCATAACTCGTGCCGGGGCCTTACAGAGAGGCTAAAGCTATCGTGTCCATTTCTGTAACTGCTCAGTCACTATTGTGGGGTTATATTATTTGCGATGATTTGATATTTGACATTATACTACTTCATGCCTTCATTTGTACATTTTTCTACTACACTTTTCCTTTGGCTGATACCTTTCGCTACTGTTGCTGTTAAGTGTTTACTAACACATTGTAAAGAAGGTCCCGATACATTCTCTTGACTATGGGACCTCCTTTTGTATACTAATTGCCTCGATTCATACCCAACATTTATTAATAAAGTTCTGATTAATGATTTAAAATGATTAACAGTTACTGACCACCGTAACAATTGAATATAAAGGAAGTAACTGCAACTGTAATCGCTTGTCAACAATACGGTAGACGTGCTAACTAGGCTGCCGTACGGGGGCCGAAACGTGCATTTGTTTGCTTTTAATCGTGGTCAGTGCAATGTTTTGTCTTCAAGTCGTTTCCTGACCAAACGGGTTTCCGTCCAGCTGTCGATTTCACTTCCTACTTTCTGTAACGCGTGAAATACTATATGAATCCACCTTCATTGTTGCTACAGTATTTGTGTGCTACAGTATTACAATACAGTGCTACAGTATTAGCCAGAAACTCGATTTCTTTTTTTAGTCAGAGCAAGTGAAGGCATGTTGATACATCGATCACCCAGCGTTTGCATTTGATTGGCCTCCATAATCTCTTGTGTTAGCTACTGACGGTGACAGTGCACTTTTCGAATTTCGGTCTGCAACCACAATCCCTACAGTGAGTGCCCAAATGTCCTTGCACAGCTGAGTGTACATTGTAATGATGCTCCTTTAAACGCTCATTAAGGCACCGGCCCGTTTGCCCAACATATATCTTGCCACATGACAACGGGAGCAAATAAACGACGGCTATCACACATGCTACGAATAGCCTTCTGTGTTTTATTGTGCAGCAGCTCCTTCGTGCGGACTGCGCATTCACCCGTTTGCAGAGCGCTGAAATTGTAGAGATTGTGGTTGGAGACCGGAATTCGAAAAGTGCACTGTTGTAGCCAAACACCATTATTAGCTAATACGGTAGATTATTTAGGCCAATCAAATGAAAATGCTGGGTAATCGATGTATGAGCATGCCTTCGTTTACTCTGACTAAAGAAGAAATCGAGTTTCTGGCTTTCACACAATAGATCGTGAATTTGTGCTGATGTGTGCTGTTGTAAACATATAATGAGATGATGATTGTCTTGCTGTGACGCAATAGGTTGCGCGATTGCGCGTTGATGTTCTGTCACGAGTATATATTTCAAGCGTTTTCGCTAACAAAAATTTCAGTTGAAGTCGGCCCTCTTCCTGTCCTTGTCTCTTCTTCTGTACGTAACTACTCGTAGTCTTGCGCTGTGCAAATATGTTGTATTTTTCGCTCTTGTCCTTCGCTTTGGCCTTCCCTGTAATATCGTTGTCATGACGCAAACATATATACATGGTGCTATGCTCGTTATTTCTAGCATTCATCAGCGTATTTGTTTAGTTCTACCGATACAACACAGTCATATGGATATATTCTATGTTTTCAAATGGCGGTAGGTGCCTTCGGTATACTGAGGCGCTTGTATAGAGACGTCACGGCGCTCTCCACCACCCTCTACTATCGCGTCACAACAGGCACAGCGGCTTGAAAGCTGCCTGAATTAACCCTTTTTCGATGGTTTCAATATTATTTAAATCCATCGCTGGTACACGCATTGCCTGTAGATGTGTCGCTAGGTTCCTGGATGCAAAAAAAAAAAAAACGTTCCTCATCTTTGATCAGCTCGGATGTCGTGCTTCTCCCGTGTCGCCAGCTGTTTTTCCGCGGACGTATATTTATAAATAGGTTTATTGTATCTTTACGTTGGCTATAACGTCACATCACGGCACATGCCGCGCCGTAACCTTGCCTAGTTAGCCCCCCATTTCGACAAGAGCTTATGCATGTGCTAACATAATTCCAATGTATCCAGGTCAGCTACCAGAAGCAGTACCGGGCTGGTATGATTCAAAAGAAGACCGAGGCCCGCCTTCTCGCTGCATTGCAGTACCCATATGAGAGCAAAACGTAAGCACAACTTCTCACCGCACATTTTTTGTATTTACATACATACATACATACATACATACATACATACATACATACATACATACATACATACATACATACATACATACATACATACATACATACATACATACATACATGCATACATACATACACGCACATACATACATACATACATTCATACATACATACATACATACATACATACATACATACATACATACATACATACATACATACATACATACATACATACACACACATACATACATACATACATACATACATACATACATACATACATACATACATACATTCATACATACATACATACATACATACATACATACATACATACATACATACATACATACATACACGCACATACATACATACATACATACATACATACATACATACATACATACATACATACATACATACATACATACATACATACATACATACATACATACATACATACATACATACATACATACATACATACATTGTAGGAATCGAGCGTGCCCTCCCCTTTCGGCACGTCGTTTCCGTGATAGCGTGAGCGCTGGCCCTGTGCGGCTCAAGCGTCTGGAACGTGGCCCCGTGGTTTCGCCGCCAGGCCTTTGTGTCTGGGGTGAGCCGTGCGTCAGTTTTCCCTGCATGGAGAGGCGTGTCCCAACTTGCTCGGACAGCGCGCCTCCCCCTTACGGCACTCCGGCCCACATCACTGTGATCCGTCGATTCTTATTGGCCACCCGTGACTTTCCCTCCCCCCGTATGTCTTGCCTCCTGAAACAACTTTTGAAAAGGTCTGATCTGTTTCTTTTCAGTACTCTGCGTGAATAAGTATAATTCTGTACGAACTTTAGTTTTCAGAAAGCATGCAAAATAGAAGTAATTGTTACGGTAGTGGTGCGGACTGGGGCAGAATGAATGTGAACATCCTCGACGCACGGGGTCGTGATTTTTCGGACACTAGCATTTTCGTTTTCACTTCACTTCTCAAGTGTGAACGCACCCTTCGGCGCACGTTTCGCGGAGTGAAGGAGCTTAGCTTCCCGCTATCCTCTCTATCGCAGATAAACGAGCTGAAAAAGTGTTTACTCGATGTACGCTCGAACGTTGCAAGTGGTGGAGAGGGTGAATTGAGGAAGAGGTCACATGCAGCGAGCGCGTGGCAGGCGAGGGAGCAAGTGAGGTTACCGCGCATTGCGAGGGAAGGCGTGACCTACTTGGCACCGCCCCAACACCTGCGGTGAGTGCGGTGCAGCGCGTTGGCACGGACGGAGAGCGTTACACAGGCTAGCCAAAGAGCTGCTTCGAATCTAAAAACTGAGTAAATAAAAAGCACTAAGTGCACACAGGGATTCGAGCCCAGGACCCCTGCGTGTCAGTTTAGTAATCTACCACTGAGGCACACCGGTACTCGGAACACGTTCGCGAATCTCCCTTACGCAGGATTAATATCGGGAAATGAATCGCGTTAATATGCGTAGTAAAGCATTTTAGAACAGCAAAGGAACGACCAGGCGTCACACAATGCGAATTGCGTAACGAGTGGGTCGTCCGATGCTCCAGCCTATTACAAAAGCTTGTTCTTGATTCTCATCGTTCATCCTCGTCACTCTCTGTATAAAAAATGCCCAAAATTTTTTGCAAAGTGTGTAGCGCATACCGCGCTTCTCTGAAAAATGACGAAAAATAGCATAGTGAATGGCGGCCTACTTGACAGAAATTATGTTTTTTATGGCGTAGTGGGTACCCGGCAAGTGTGCTTGTAGCAGTTTTTTACAGTGTTTAGATAAGACTCTGAAAGGGCGCTCTTCCAGCTTTCGCTGTGATCTCTGCGGCGTGTTCCGCGCAGGCCTGACGCTTCTTTCTTCTTTTTTTTTTTTTAATGCGACTCATTTCATAGTCGGGTTATGTCAGGCGTTCGTCGGGATCCGTCAACCGCCCGCTCCCATAGCAACAGCTGCGGACGCGCGCGCCCCTAGCAACCGGAGCCCCCACCACGTCACGCTTCGGCATCGGCAGCTGTCAGCAACTGCGGTGGGCGCGCGCGCTTATCCTCGTCCCTAGCTGCCGGAGCTCCAACCTCCTCCACTTGAACGTGACTTGCGATCGCCTCAATGCAGTACCACGGCCACCTTGTTTTTAAATGCGAAGCATTTCTTGGCGAACTTCGGCGACTTTGAGCGTATCTATCTATCTATCTATCTATCTATCTATCTATCTATCTATCTATCTATCTATCTATCTATCTATCTATCTATCTATCTATCTATCTATCTATCTATCTATCTATCTATCTATCTATCTATCTATCTATCTATCTATCTATCTATCTATCTATCTATCTATCTTCTAGCCACCTACGACATTTAGCTCTCCTGGTCGTCTCGATAATGGTATCAATATCAAATTGGTATGGTATAACATGACCGTACGACGAGCATTATTAACCAGTCATAACATGAAAATCATGACATGTATGTCATGAATGTCATGATTTACATTTCATGTTCTTTCTGCTCTTGCGGCGGTAGCGTTCGCATGACAGCTTGCAAAACATCGTATAACATGACTGCTTAGCGAACATAAGTGACAGACTCTAACGGGGAAATCATGACATACATGTCATGATTTTCATGTCATGACTAGACGCCACGCTCATGGTGCGCTCACGGCTGTTTCGCTAGCCTCACATATACAAAATTTGGTATTACGTGACGTGAATGTACGACAAAGGTAAATGACACGTCCAAACATAATAATCATGACGTGCGCGTCATGTAAAGCGTGACTACATGCTACATTCATAGCGCGCTCGCAGCCGTTTCGCGAGCTGGGCTTATACCAAATTTGGTATCACGTGACCTGACTAGACGACGAAGGTATATCACACGTCTACACATGATAATCATGATATGCGCGTCATGTGAAACATGTATACATGCTACGTTCATAGCGTGCTCGCGGCTGTTTCGCTAGCTCCACACGTACCAAGTTTGTATCAGGTGACGTGAATAGACGACGAAGGTAAATGACCTATCCAAACATGAAAATAGATATACGTGTCATTTGAAACATGACTACATGCTATGCTCACAGCATGCTCGAGGACGTTTCGCTAGCTCCCCGTATAGGAAACTTCGTATTACGTGACGTCAATGGACGACGAAGGTAAATGAAACGTCCAAACATGACAATCTTGAAATGCCTGTCATGTGAAACATGATTACATCATTACGCTCATAGCGTGCTCGTGGACGTTTCGCTAGCTCCACATATACGAAATTTGGTATTACGTGACGTGAATAAACGGTGAAGGTAAATGGAACGTCCAAACATGATAATCATTATATGCCTGTCATGTGAAACATGATTACATCATTACGCTCATAGCGTGCTCGCGGCCGTTTCCCTAGCTCCACATACACGAAATTTGATATCACGTGAGGTGAATAGACGACGAAGGTAAATGACACTTATGAACATGATAATCATGGTATACCTGTCATGGGAAACATGATTACATCATTACGCTAGGAAAGCACGTGTTTCCACGCACTCTGCTAATAATTGTAGGTGGTTCGTCTGACGTCATCGGGATCATTTAGAGAATGTCCTACTGTGGCACATGTATGGCGCATTCACATTGATTTCTCGGTAAGTACGGCACCGCTGTTGATAATATTGTCGTTTTAGACGTTGTCATACATTGAGCTTTTACTCTGACATAAATTGACATTTGACTTTAGTGTTCGTTTAAGCCGGTCGCTGGTCGGCGAAGCGTGTCGCCGTTCGCTAATCAACATGCCTGGCGTGTCAATGACCGGCGAAGAAAGAAGAAACATATGCTCCAGGAACCGTGCCACGGGAGTTAAAAAGCATTTTTTAGTTTGTCTGGTAAAGCAAAGTGCTAAAAGGCGTAGTGTATAGTGCCGAATAACATGCACCGCTGCTGCCGCATGGCGCAAGCAGCGCTAGCTGTAGAATATAAGCGACAATTCACAAACACAAAATATATGTCCTCCAAGGCTCAATGAGCGCCCCCACTAAGCCACACTGCATTGTATATTGTCACGTTACTCTCGACAAACTTGATAAAAATGGGCTCGTTTAGTCGACTACTCAAGCAGCGGCTCAGAGAGATCGTCTTTGTCTTCTTTCACTCTTCGATATCACCCAAGCAAACCATGTGGCAATAGTCCCCCCCTTTGAAAGCATCGACTCGATGCTCGTAAATAAAAAAAAAAATGAAGGTATACACACGCAGATATAGAGAACCAAAAGAGGGAGAGTGCCACTACTCGCAGCGCAAATGAGGAAGTTTCGCCAACGCTTCCGCCAAGCGCAAAAATAAAAGGCATAAAGACACAGGAGAACACAATCAGCAGCAGCAACGCAATGCCACGGCATGTCGTAGCACGTGAAACCACAAGGGCTACTGTGTGAAGTAGGGCTTCAGCCGAACGACATGCACGGTTTCGGGCCGAAGCTGTCGACGAGAAGACGCTGCGCCATCCGGAAATACCTCGTAGGTAAGATCTGGGATTCGTCTAAGAACCTTGTACGGTCCAAAATAACGGCTTAGGAGTTTTTCGGATAAGCCTGGTCGCCGGACAGGGATCCACACCCACACTCGGTCCCCAGGGTGGTAGGTGACATTTCGATGGCGGAGGTTGTAACGTCGTGCGTCTACATCTTGTTGGTGACTGGTGTTTATGCGAGCTAGCTGACGAGCTTCTTCGGCGTATTGAGTGTATTGCTCAGCATCTTGAGCAAGTTCATTGCTTTGGTCGCACGGAAGCATAGCATCGAGCATGGTTCGCACGTTGCGTCCGTAAACAAGTCGGAAAGACGGAAATCGCGTTGTTTCTTGCGTTGCCGTATTATAAGCAAACGTGATGTATGGAAGAATCTCGTCCCAGGTTTTATGTTGTACGTCCACGTACATTGACAGCATGTCCGCTATGGTCTTGTTAAGCCTCTCT